TACTTAGACCCCCAAAGGGGGTCATCCTCTAACTCCCTTTTTTTATAAAGTTTAAAAAAATTATTGAGGTATAATTGACATTAACATTATGTTCATTTCAGGTGTACAACCTAATGATTCAATATTTATATATATTACAAAATGATCACCAGAGAAAGTCTAGGTAACACCTATCACCATACATAGTTAAAAATTTTCCCATGATTAGAATTTTTAAGATCTATTCTCTTAGCACCTTTCAAATATGCAATACAGTATTATTAACTATAGTTACCATGCTGTAAACATTACATACCCGGGACTTATTTTATAACTGGAAGTGTACCTTTTGACCCCCATCTCACACATACCCCAGACCCCACCTCTGGCAAACGTAATCTGTTCTCTGTATCTGTGAGCTCAGTTTATTATTTAAATTCCACATATAAATAAGACTGTATGGTATTTGTTTTTCTGTTTGACTTATTTCACTTAGCATAATGCCCTCAAGATCCATCCATGTTGTCTGTCACAAAGGCAAGATTTCATTTTTTTATGGCTGAGTATTATATAGTGTGTGTATATCCATGTGTATGTGTGTATACCACATTTTTTTATCCATTTGTCCATTAGTGGACACTTAAGTTGTTTTTGTTTCTGGCTATTGTAAATAATGCTGCAGTAAACAGGGGGGTGCATATATTTTTTTGAGTTGATGTTTTAATTTCTTTGGGTAAATACCTAGAAGTGGAACTGCTGGATCATATGGTGGTTGTATTTTGAATGTTTTGAGGCACCTCCATACTGTTTTCCATGGTGGCTGCACTCATTTCATTCCTACCAATGCATGAAGTTTCCCTGTTCTCCAGTTGAACAAATCGTTGTTCCCTTTCTCCACTTGCCAATACTTGTAATCTCTTGTCTTTTTTATAAAAACCATTCTAACAGGTATGAGGTGATATCTCATTGTGGTGATTAGTGATGTCGAGTATCTTGTCATGTACCTGTTGGCCATTTGCATGTCTTCTTTGGAAAAATGCCTATTCAGATCATCTGCCCATTCTTTAGTAGGATTTTGGGTGTGTTTGTTTTTGTTATAGAGTCATATGAGTTCTTTATATATTTTGGATATTAACCCCTTATCGGACACAGGATTTACACATATTTTCTCCCATTCAGGATGCTGTCTTTTCATTTTGTTGATGGTTTCCTTTGCTGTGCATAAGCTTTTTAGTTTGATGTCGTCCCACTTATTTATTTGTTGCCTTTGCTTTTGGTGTCAGATCCAACGAATCATCACCAATACTAATCTCAAGGAGCTTACCACCTGTTTACAGTTTTGTAACTTCAGATTTTACATTCCAGTCTTCGATCCATTTTGAGTTCAATTTTCTGTATGGCATAAAGTAATGGCCCTGTTTCATTCTTTTGTATGCAACTGTCCAGTTTTTTCTATTGAAGACACCGTCCTCTCCCCATTGTATATTCTTGGCTCCTTTGTTGTAAATTAATTTACCATATATGCAGGGGTTTATTTATGGGCTCTTTATTCTGTCCCATTGATTTACGTGCCTGTTTTTGTGCCACCTTTGGTCACTCACATGGCTGCATTTATCTGGAGACTCAGTGGGGCTGGATGGTTCAAGATGGTCAGGTCTAGCAGTTAGATGTTGGGTGAAGTGCCTCAATTTTCTCATGGCCCATCCAACAAGATACATTGAATTTTGTAAGTGCTAGCGGCAGTGTCTAAGATAATGAAAACGAAGGCTGCAAAGCTTCCCAAGGCTTAGCCTCAGAAGCTCTATATACAATGTATTTTCACTATGTTCTGTTGATCAACATAAGTAGCAAGAATGGTAGAGATTTAAGAGATTGAGAATTAAATGGGAGGTACAGAAAATCACACTGAAGAAGGGAAAAGACTCAGAGAACCTTGATCATTCTAGCAATCTATCACAATGCTTAGTGAAGGTTTGTGGAGTGAATGAATGACTGTTTGATATTGTTTCTGCAGTTCCATGCTTCATATTCAAGGTCTGCTGTGATTTTGCTTCCAAAGCATTAGACCTCATCTTTCCACTCATCTCAGTTTGCCCCACAACTTATTTATATGTGTGTTTTATCCTCAAAGGAAGGTATCTTGTCTTGTTCTCTCTGCATAGCCCATGTATCAAGCAGACATTTAGGCTCCAAAGAGACACTCTACAGATTCTTAATTGAGTTGAATTTAATTCAACAACTTTGACACCTTGTCCCCTTTCCATTCCATTTTCACCAAGTCACTAGTTGAACAATTCTCTGAAGATTTTACCGTCATTCTGGTCTATGCCTTTACCCATTCCATTTTCCCTGCCTAAAACACTCTCCCTCTTCCTCTTTGCTTATTTCAGTGTTTCTCACTGACATTTAGCAATCTTGGCCCTACCTTAAATTCTAGTAGAGGCAGGGTCATTAATGACAACCGTGATAAATTGTGAATACCAAGTAAAACTATCCTTTGGCCTATAGTGGGAACAATATTGGTTTGTCTATCCAGTACCACCTTTTGTCTGAGGAAATGTTCTTCTCCCAACTCCAACTATATTATGCCTGAAGGAATTACTATATTCTTTAAAGGCTCCACCCTTCTAGGTCCTGTTGATTTATCTGGCATGTCTGAAGGGAATCAGGCATTAGCCTACCCAGAGCAGGTGCTGAAATGTAATAGAAAGTAGGAATGGAACAGATCCCCTTTGTTCTTCTGTGGTGGAATCCCCTTCCTTCAAACATACATATATATATATATATATATGGGTAGATTGCTTGAGGTATACGTGATATCCCCAAGTGCTGGGGATGTCTAAATAAACACTACTCAGCATCATCAAGCCATAAAGTTTCTACAAGGCTTTGAAGGAGGGTTGAATCATGAAAACACAAGTTTTTACAAAAACTGCAACAAAAAGTTGAATAAAGCATAGCAGAGAACTTCCTTATACATTTCTTTCTGGGTACATAGCCAGGAATTGGAATTGAAGAAGAAATATATGAATGGAATACAAAAAGCTGCTAAGTTAAGGTTTTGGGTGCTGCATGGGTAGCAGTTTGGAAATGGAATGGAAAGCTCCCCTGTGCTTGGGGAGCACCTCTTCAGTCACCAGAAAAGCAAAGAGATCAAGCTCTAATTAAGGCAATGGGGCAGGGGTGAGTTAGGAAGTTAAACCTTTTATTCTACATATTGGCTTGTGCCAAGCTAGAGGGAGTCTGTATTTAGAGTTAGTGACCTATATTCTCAATTTTGGGGAATAGCGCAATAATCCATCACTCCCCAATCCGGAAACCTGAGTGTCACTAGAGTCACATTGACTCTACTCTCCCTCACCCCTCAAGGTTAATTATCCAAAAAGCCCTGTAAATTTTATGTTTTTCCCAATCCATCTCCTTCTCTCCATTGTTACTACCATCGACCTGGTTTGGTTCCCTATAATCTCCCATCTAGATAACTGGTCTTCCTGCCTCCCACCTAATGCCCTAACAGTCCATCTTTCACATGTTGCCAGAGTAATCTTTCTCATATATAGATCTATGTTGCCCTCCTTCTGAACAAACCCCTGCCAGAGTTGCTGCCATGTAAAAAGTAAACTCTACATACAACATTCCAGACTTTTCATTCCCTGTTTAACCTTCAGCCTTCGTTCTGGCCATTTAGCCTTCCCCCAAACACACACCCTATGCTCTAGTCATACTGACCTACTTTCAGTTCTCCAAACACAACCTGCTTTATCACACCCCTTCACATACCTGGAACACCTATTCTTTCCTGTGCCAGCCTGGAGAATGCCAATCCATCTTTGAAACTTAGCTCAGAAGTCATCTCCCCCTGACTTAGCCCAGGCAAAGTCAGTGGCCCCTCTCTCAGGCCCCACAGCTACTTGCACACACTTTCACTATTACACATGCTTACTTACTTGCCTGTCTCCAACCAGTAACGGAAAGCTCTGAGAACAAGACTGGTTTTACTTATCTTTATATTTCCCTTGTGTCTAGCAAGGCTTAAAACAGGCTTCAAGGCTTGTTGAATTAGTGGATTACTATTCAATAGGTACTTTAGGTTTCCAAAAGTTGCAGTAAAGGAGCTTCTTCCTGTAAAATAGCTGATGCTGAGTGTGCTCTCATGACTTGGGGAAATGCCCTGGCATTTTTTGGTCTTGTTCTTTTAGGCAATGGTATTTTAATCATTCATTCAACAATTATTTACTAACCACCCACTAAATGTCAGGATCTGTGCCATTTTTGAAGTTCAGGAGGTACTACATTAAGGAAGAAAAATAGCCTTGGCACTGTCCAAAAAAAGCTATATAACTGTATGCAATTACAATAAATAAAAAATTATTTTTGAAAGCAGATTTAGGAGATGCAATTATTTCACTGCACCAAAGGAAAGTTTAAATGACTCAGAATAATTTTTTTTTTTTTTTAAGTTTTAGGATAGAGAGGCTAGAGGTAATAGATGGACTGACTTGACCAGGCCCTGCCACATGGTGGCAGTGCTTCTCCAGGGATGAAGATTTAGCAGCCTGGGCTTTAGAAGAGCAAGCAATTCTCACATTTAACTCCAGTGGAATAGTAGTCCTAAAATTTTGACATGGTAGTTTTTTCAATTTGCAGAAAAGATTACGTAAAAGGTGTGATATAGTCAACTTTCTCTCTACAAACTTTCGTAAGCTTTGGAACCTGCAAATAAATAAATATAAACAGAACTTTGGAATGGACTGAGCCTGTTACATTCCATGGCTTGTTGTTTCATAGAAGTGTAATCTCAGAATCACTTTTTTATATTGATTTTGTGTGACATGATGATAGCTTCTACTAGTAACAATGTTTCCTAGTTTATATCACCATATTAAGTGTGTACTGCAGAGATATTTCCTGTAGACTCTGTCAATTAAAACCATTTGAGAAACATGATCTGATCCAATGTTTTCTGATTACTAACAAGGAAAACAAGGCTCTGAGAAGGTAAATTACTTGCCTAAAGTCACAAAGCCATTTATGGGACAAGTTCAAGTTAATTCCTGCAAAGTGAAGATTCCAGATCTTTTCCTTGCTGCCATTTATCAACTTCATAAACAGAGCTTGTTGAATGATTAACCTAAAGAGTAAGACAGAGAAGAGTCAAGGTGATTCTCAGGTTTCTGAATTAGTGAGTGATAAATTATGTTACCAGTACCAAAACTGAGAATATAGGTGGCTGATTCCAAATACAGACTCACTTTAGCTTGGCACAAGTTAATGTATAGAATAAAAGGCTTCCCCTTCTAGCTCAACTCTTCCACTGACTGTCCAAATCAGAGCTCTCCTAGTTTCCCAGTATCTGAAAGGGTGCTCCCCAAAGAGAAGAAAATGCTAATATCAGGAGTATTATCTCATCTATTCACTTCAAGAGGGAGTTCAAGACGACAAATATAGTTGTCAAATGACCAAACTAAGTAGTTCAACAAATATTGATTGACTACCTTACCGTGAGCCAGGTATGTTCTAAGCCCTTGGTTATCAAGGTGTGGTCACCATACAGCAGCATTAGTATCACCTGGGAACTTGTTAGGAATTTAAATTATTGGGCTTCACATCAGACATACTGAATCAAAAACCCTGGCAGAGTCCAGCAATGTTTTTACCAGTCCTTCAGCTCATTCTGATGCACGCTCAGGTTTGAGAACAACTATTCTAGATACTTAGGATATGTTGTTAAGGAAAAAGAGCTTGTCCTCTTGCAGCAACAATATACAAATAGACAAAAATAAAATTTCAGGCAGAGGTAAGTGTTATTGGGGAAACCAGAACAGGGAATGGAGGGAAAAATGTAAAGAGTGCTCAGGCAAGCTCTCTGATGGATATGAGCTCTGGAGTCTGAGCAGGATGTGACTATTAGCTCCACCAGTTACTAGCCTTTTAAAGGTTTAGTTTCCTCATCTGCTAAAATAGAGATAATAATATCACTTACTTCATAAAATTACTCAGAAGATTAAATAAGATAATGTTTGCAAAATTCTTGCAACTCTTTCAGTCACAGAGGTAAGCCCCCAATAAATGTTAGCCCTCCAAATATGAGGGAGGAGTGCTATAGATGTACATTGGAACTCATCACTGTAGAAATTAATAGTAAGGTGGGTGAAAAGGTGGACAGACTGAGATATATGAGCAAAGAGGATGGCTAATGGAATCTTTTTGGTGGGGACTGAAGAAGGTTAAAAAGTGGGAAAGAGGTGAAGAAATGAAGATGAAGAGAGAGAACTTTTCTCTACACCCAGCTAAAGTTGGAAGTTTGGAAAAGGAAGTCAGTGGATAGGGTGATTAACCATCCTGGTTTGCCTGGGACTGACGAGGCTCTTGGGAAGTGAAACTTTCAATGCTGAAATGGGAAAGTCCTAGGAAAATTGGGATGAATTGGTCACCCTGCAAGTGGATAGGATCGCGGTGGTGCAGCAGGGATGGTAACTACCTTTACCTTTCTTTCTTGGTGCCCTCTGATCTCCTTACAGTGATCTTGTAAATTATCTTCCCAAGTATCTTGACTCAGCCAGCAGTCAGAGGGTAAGGGAGCTCTAGGTAATCCCTCTGAAGTCAGCCTTGCCAGGACAGAGCAGGATAAGGAAACACGGAGAAGGGACCTGGAGAGGCAAAAAGATAGTAATCAGCAGAGTGACAAGGGATTAGAATTGTCTGGGATTAGTCTGACTCCATATGTTTTAGTCTTTTTCCTGCCTTGTGCAAAGAGTCTAGGAGTGGGATGGATGGGTGTTCTCTGCATTATCCCAGAGATGATGCTTGAAATTGTAAGGGTTAAAATTAATTCGAATTTAAGCTTAAAATTGTGTTATCCAAAGATATTCTTCGGTGTATGAGCAGCCCACAGAACTTTTCTTTTTTTGATGTTCGGTGGTGTGAGTGCCATGCACGAGAAGGATCAAGTAGATTCTAGCTGCTCCAGGGACGGAGGTCCTGGAGAAGATCCCTACAGACACACAAAATTTTAGTATGGGACCCTCCCAGCTCACTTCCGCCTGGAGGGTTGTTTACTCTTCAAGTTGCGCTTGATGGAAGCTGTCGTGCTACGGAAGGGTCAAAGGTCAAAGGCCACCACTCGCTTGGTACAGCCTTGCAGAGCCGGAGGGGGTCCTACATCCCGGACAGCCGGACAGCCAGGGGACCTCCAGTTTCCTCCGGGCTCAGTTGACAAGAGGAGCTAAGACCCGCCTACCCAACCCAGATTATATTTGCCGGGCAGGCCGGAGGCGCTTCGTGATTGGTAGAACGGAGTGGGGTTGGGCCTCCCGTAGCAAGTCTCCTCCGGGTTGGTGCAGATCGCCGGGGGCGGGGCCCGGGCCCTCAATCCGGCTGGGCGCGAAAGCTTGAACTGCGCTGCGGGGCTCTCCTCGGCCTGAGCAGCTGCGCCGCGGCTGAGGGAAGTGGGGGTGCGCTTCGTCCCGAGCTGAGCGCTGCGGAGGCCGGAGTCATGACGGGCGAAGAGGTTTCTGAGGTGAGTTCTCGCCCAGGCCTTCCTCCGCGGCTGTGGAGGCCCGGCGCCGAGGGGTGGGGTGGGGCGGAGGCTGCCGCCGAGCCTGGGAGGACTGCCGCTCCCGGGCTCCCAGCGTACGGCTCGGCCTCGCGGTCCGGTGGCCGAAACCCGCCGGCCCCGCGGGCTCGCGCCTCCGCGAGCCGGTCCCGGCGCCGACGTTCACGCCCTCTGTGCCCCCGGCGGTGTCGCTCCCATCGCTGCGGCGCGCACAGCCCGCCGGTCGGCCCCTCCTCCGCCTGCCGCGCCCGCCCGCGCTTGCCTTTGGCGCGTTTCCTGCCGCGGGCGCTCTTCCTCTTACGGAGCCCCCCAGAGTTGGGCCAAGCCGCCCTCAGCTGGCAGGCGGGCTGGGCATCTGTGCGAGCTGGAGGCTGGGTGTGGAAGGGGCTTTGAGGCCATCGCGCGCGGCCTCGAGAGCAGTTTTCGCCAGGGGGCCTTCTGGCCGGTGTCCGCCTACTCGCTGGCGGATCTGGGCATAGAAACGAACGACCTGTTTCCAGATCTGTATTCTTTTCTGGGGCCGGGCCTCAGTGGACACACTCGCCTTGGGAGCATATTTTAAGGGGCACCAAAAAAAATTCAGTAATCAAGATGATATTTAAAGGCAATAATTTTAAAAAACAAAAGGAATGCAAAACATCCCATGGTTTTTGCTTTTGAACAAAATAACAAACTTAAAAGACAACATTCAACTGTGCCTCACTCACTGCACCTTAACAGTCACAGCCCTGGTTCCAATAAAACTTTATTTACACAGGTAGGCAGCTGACTTCATGAGCCATAGTTTGCCAATTTGGTTTTTGTTTTTAAATATTGCACTGAGATACTATCTTTTACTGAGTTTTTGAGACCTTCTCTCCTCACCCTGTCCCTGGCCTTGACTTGCTGGTACTGCTACAAACTGCCTAGAATGGAATGATTAAGAGCATCACCGTGTATTGAGCTACCTGGTTACCTAACTCCGTTTCCTTATCCACAGTCTGAGAGCTTTGGATTGTTGCAAGGATGGTCAGCCCTCGGTATCTTGGTTATTTTTAGTTTAATAATTGTCACAAACATTCCAACCAATTTAATAGTTGTTTGAGAAACCATTAGGCCTTGTGCCCAGTGGCCTTACAGATGTTAATATATTCCCTTTTATTAATAAGTTGATTCTGAGCCCTGAGATCATCAAGGAGGCAGGAGATCTGGCATCTAGGGTCAGCTTGGTCACCAACTGGTCAAATCACCTAACACACCCCTTTCTTAGATTTTTTTACTTGTGACTTTTAAAATAGTTTTATTTGAACAATTTCAAACGTATACAAATGTGGAAAGGCTGGTATAATGAACCTACCCTAACTTCAGCAACTTTCAGATCACGTAAATCTTATTCATTTATAACCCCACCTGTTTTCCTCCCTCACTGGATTATTTGCAGGAAAATTCCAGACATTTCATCCACAAATATTTCATTATGCATCACTAAGAGATACAAGGTTTTCCACAAAAGATAACCACAATATTATTACCTCACCTAAGAAATTTAGAATTATTGCTTAATACTAAATATTTAGTCAGTGTTCAGACTTCTTTGACTCAATAGATATACTTTCAATTTGTTTATATTAGGATCCAGACAAAGTGTGCATATTGCTATTGCTGTTATGAGTGTGTGTGTGTGTGTGTGCATATATATATAAACTCTATAGGTCCCTCTCCCTCTCTTTCATTTTACTGTTAAAGAAACCATATAGTTTGTTCTATAGAGTTTCCCACATCCAGATTACATCTCTGTGATGTTACTTAATGTGCTTAATGTGTCACTTGGATAAGTTCACACAGAAAAAGCGTAATGAATGCTTGATTCTTTTCATTAATTTACCATTACTTAGGATTAGTTTTATAGCGTCCTTCGAAGGTGAACGTGAGTTTTGTTTTCTGTCCAGTAATTTTTAATGTCATCCCTTTGTCGAATGATTGTTTAGTTTTTTCCCTTATTTCAGCCTGATAATCTCATGATGATTTGTGTATCATTACGTACTTAGAGCTTTCTGTCACCTGCTCATTAATGCAAAATGTATTCTCATTTTCTAGGTACCTCTAGAAATCAGTGATCCAAAGCTTATTTCACAAGAAGAAGCAGATAGTCCTTCAGATAGTGGACAGGGCAGCTATGAAACAATTGGGCCCTTGAGTGAACAAGGTTTGTAATAGTCAGTACTTTTATTTTTAGGAATAGAATGATGAGACTTGGTTTGTAAGTAGATTGGATTAATTTCATTATTTTCTTGACTTAATAGATTATTAATGCCTGACCTTATTGTTCTTATTATTATAGCAAAATATTAGTGCTTATGCCCTTTTGAAAGTAACCATTTCTATTATATTATTGAATGTATAAAATGTCTAAAAGCTACCACATTGCCTGGTTGAATGCATTCATCCTATAATAAAAGGATTTTTTTAACACCTGCCAGAAGGATTAGAACAACTTTACACGTTGTAAATATATATAATTACATTTCTCAGTAAGAGGCATTTTTCCAGGGAAAATGTTTTTCAAAATGTATTTTTAGATTTGCATTGCTACAATCAGTTCTTAGCAGTAGTTACATAATTTCACAAGGTGATACATCACTTGGATAATTGGATATGTTTTTGAGGAGTAGGGGACTAGGAAGAAGGCCAAATGACAGTACACCTCTAAAAGAAATTGTCTTTCTTTCAGATTCAGATGAAGAGATATTTGTGAGTAAGAAATTGAAAAGCAGGAAGGTGCTACAAGACAGTGATTCTGAAAAAGAGGACACAAATGCCTCTCCACAGAAAACTACCTCTGACAGTATCGAGGAGGAAAATAAAGAGAATTTATATGCTGGAAAAAATGGAAAAGTCAGAAGGATTTACAAACCTCTGGCAGACAGTGATGAAAGTGACATTGAGGAGTCTTTGTATCAGGAAACTCTTGAAACTCAAGTGACACCTTGCTTAGAACTGAGTTTCCAGTCTGAAAACTGTGTGGACTTTACAGTTGACAGAAAGAGTTCCAAAAAACCCATGCGTGATAAAGAAGAAAAAGCAAAAGTAAAATCAAAGAGAAGACTTGAGAAAGAGGAGAGAAAGATGGAAAAAATTAGGCTGCTAAAAAAGAAGGAAAAGAAAAAAGAGGTACATTTAAAAGAATACTTTGCTGTTTCTATGGCAGATTAACATTTTAGAAAAAGTTGCTTTCAGTTCTTGAGGTTTCTGTGCTCAGCATATAGCTTTGAGTTGATTGTTTTGCACTGCAAGTAGTGAGGCATATGATTTAAAACTTGTTGGTCTCATTCCATTTCAGATAATTGGAGGACACTTCCAAATAAATGGGTTTCTGATTTTCTTTGTACGCACATGTTTTTGTTTTTGATCCAGGCTCTTTCTGATCTGATGCAAATTAACTTTCAAAGGAGGATTTTCATGCATCTATCAGTCAGAAGGCTTGTTTGTCAATGAGAAAAACCATCTTCAAGTTCTGTAAACTAGTTGCTTAATAAGTATTTAATTAACTTTTCAAAAATATTAAGTTAGTTTTGGACCATGGCACAAAATCACAGCGTAAACTGGTTAGGAACCAGTGAGAATGCTCTAAAATGCCATATATTTGTCTGTTGATGGAACACGGGCTCTTTCTGGCCTGATCCAAATTGCCATATGATGCTGTGAAATAATTGGGTTTTGAAATGTTTGGATTTTGCTTTTTCCTTATGCATTATCCAGGAAGATGATGTGAAACAGCCATTTAATGATAGTGGCTGTCTTCTTGTGGATAAAGACCTTTTTGAAACTGGGTTGGAGGAGGAAAATAGCTCTCCACTGGAAGATGAAGAATCATTAGAATCAATAAGGGCAGCTGTGAAAAACAAAGTAAAACACAAGGCAAGTAAAAGACAATTGGAATAAGAACTAACCCTCTGCCTCTAACCTTTGCTTTGTTTTCTGGCTCACCCTTAGAACCTTTATTTGTTTCCAACTGAAGAAAAATGTGTCGATTGATCTAAGTTTTTCAGCTGTTAATTTTGGAATTGTGCAGTACAAGTGATAGACATGCTAACTTGTTTGGAAAACAATATTTTGATTGCCCGCATAGGAAATCTGGGAGTGTGCGGAGTAAGATACTTGATGTTGTTTAAGAAGCAGGTGAATAATGGGGCAGAGATATGACTTAGAATCCTGAGGCCTCTAAGAAACGGATTTGTGGGATTTCAGGAAGGGAATCAAATAGAAACATCAGTCAAAGCATTGTTGTCCTGAGTGTTTGGAAGCCTAATTGTTCTTCCTGAGATTAGCTCCTTGGGAGTATTGTCTCTCCATAGGGACAGAGGTCCAAGAAATGAGAACCCAAACTCCGTTTGAGACATCATGTTTGTTTTGTAGGCATTATAGGATGCTGTGTTTAAAATTTTCTGTTTGATAATTATTAATATAGCATGATGGGATGTTGGAGTATAAAAGCAGTATTTGAGTAAGCAACATCTTCTTAGTTTAGTTTAATTTTTGTCCGTATTATTCAACTTGTAATCTTCTCTTTTAGAAAAAGGAACTGTCTTTGGAGAGTGGGGTCTGTTCATTTGAAGAAGAAAGTGGGTTACCAAAAAGTACCGTGAAGAAGGTGAGGTGGAGTCCTGCTTAGTTGTCATGT